CCTTGTAAAGTAGAGCATGCTACTTGTCCTTATTGCACAATTAGTAATACACACAAAGAGACTTAGGTACTTTTCAGGACAAAGGCAGAATAATAATGGTTATAGATATAGATGGATATATATAATATATAATTTAAAATTTTATTTTAAAACTTTGCGCATACACTTCTTCAGCATCCTCCTCTTTTGTTCATTGCACTGAAAAGTTTCAAAAAACACAAAATATATCCCTTTACTAAACATTTTTTGTTCTTAGGTTACAAAAAGATTAACATTTCACAGTCACAAAGCAGAAGTACATTGGTCCAAAACACCTTCCTCCAGCAGGCCCTCCATTCTTCAGGACATATAAAACCTAGACAGTTGTACAGATCTCAAAACAAGATGACTTGTCCAATGAAGGAAAGAAAAAGGTGGCAGCTATTAAAAAAAAAAAAAAATCCCAAACCAAAATAAGACACCTATGAAAGAACACCACCAGCAATGGTTTAAAAAAAAAAAAAAAAAAGAGAGAGAAAGAAAAAAGAATGGGAGTGGAGGTGGACAAGGGCATCCTCCTTCAAGTACATCACAGGTAGAAATACAGCAGCACAGTTACAGCATCGTTTGGTCACTCTCTGTGGTAGCCACATCACTATATCTTCATCTAAGACACATGGAGGAAAACCTATTTACACACCAAAAATGTTGGGGAGGAACAACAATTCCACACAGTTTGCAATTCATGTTTGATACAAAAAATGTTGAAAGTATTTGTACACAAAATGTAAAATAAAAGCACAATGCCGAGGCAGGAAGAAACACAGTAGATTTGCTTAGAGTGTGTAGTGTTCTTTAAAAACCTAGCAAAAGTTCAAAGCCAAAATCTGCCCAAACATCAAGTGCAGTTCTTCAAAAATATCCTGGAGGCACAGAATCAACTGTACCTCACAGACCTCTCTTGTCACATTTTAACATGGAAGTAACTTTAATATGGAAATCCACTGCTAACAGCAGACTCTGACCACTTTTCCTTTAGCTTGTTAGCCTTGTTGTTTTTTAGAATTTCTGAAAAAAAATCTCTCTCTTTCCAGCATGAGGCCACTGAACATCAGCCCTCTCAGACAATACACTTCTGGGTTCATGAAGGAAGCATCATTGCATTAATGTACCAAACGATGGTTGTGTGCCTCACTTAAGGTGTAAACGAAATTTCTACCTACCTTCTTCATCAAATTAAACAAAGATTTTAGGCTGTAGTGCAAGAGAAAAATGTCCAAAATGGCCATACTACCTTCTGCAACAGTATTCACAGAAGAATGGTAGAAGCTTCTTGGTTTCAAGTTTCTAGAAATTGGGCTGGACTAGGCACCAGAAGACAGTGTTACATTGCACTGTCGGCTAACCTGAACCACATGGCACACTATTTCCTTTCCTTGCCGTTGTCCAAGGAAGGACAAGAACTTGCCCGACTTTCTAAGCAGTGTCTATGTGCAGGCAAGGACACAGCACTGTGCAACAGCAGTATGAATACAGACGTAACTCAGGACTGAGGTTCCTTGCTACTGAGGCTTAAACAATTTTGGATACTACGGGAACTTCACTGGCAAAAAAACCCATAGTGCTGCTGGCATCAGGCAGTAACTAAGATGACATGCCAAGGATCTAAAATTTGGAGTTGGTGCCTAACTTGCTCCAGTTGGAGGAGGCGAGGTGTCTGCTCCTAACGCAGGAGCATTAGGAGCTGAGGAAGCTCTAGGAGCTTCACTGAGCCCTAGAGCAGCTGCCAGTCTGCACGTGGCACCACCCATCCTGTGCCTATCTGAAAAATGGTACTGTGCACCACGGATCCACCCCACCATCAGTGGTTTCTAATGTTGTGACTCCCAAAATAATTCAACCTATAAAGGGAATGGGAAATGCTTTTAATTATTCTTGCTTCTCACATAATACCTCCCCAGTAATGACTCCTGCCTCCTATTTAGATGAGGCTTTGGCATGTATATGTATTTATACCATGCCTTGAAGCAGAGCACAGACCACCGTGCAGGCACCTAAGGAGCTGCTAGTGAAAGCAGATAGAAGGGAAAGCCCAAGTACTAACGCAGCATATCAGAGATGTACCAGAGGTGCTCTAGGGAGGCAAGCATGTAATTGTATAACAGATACTTTGTAAAAAAGCAAAACAAAAAGCATCACAGCATAGTTTTAGTCACATACATCTGAGTAGGAAGCTTTTTATTATCCTTTAAAGTTCTCAGAATTTATTAATTGATGCTAATTGATATTAGTTGTTGATACTGTACTTCCGCCCTTTCCAGGAGAGGGTGTGATAGCTAACACAACTCCACCTGGGCACAGCTGCTGCAGAGAAGCAGGCTGACTGATAGCAATACCTCAGATGACCAACAAACATATTGGAGGCTGATTCACGAAGCCATACCAGCGCCCACGAGATTTTGCTCTGAGAAGTCACCAGCCAGTTTGCTCCCACCAAGTCATGCACTCTGCTAACCCATCTCTCCAGCGGTATGTTTAAAAACACCCCTGAATGAGAAGGTGCATTTTCCTTGCCTTGAAATTACACTTCTAAATTTTGGCAAACGCTACACTGGAAATTTATTTCCACCACATTGCACTCAGTGGTTTTATAATGACTGATACGTGTGTTGACACCATCTTACCAAATAATGAAGACTAACAACGCGTGGGCACTGAAATATTTGACTCAGGCTTGTAGTTGGTACCAGCAAGCACCAGCTTCTCTGCTGTTCAGTCGACTCCGCCAGAATTGCCAGCATTAGTTTCTTTGTGAAAGAGGATCCAAATTGCTACAGGACTACACAACTGCATTTGCGAAGAGACAACAGGAGTTACACAGAGCATGAAAAGCACGTTTACAAGTTTATTAGGCCAAAAAAAGAGTGCAAGAGAAGATCTCTTGCTTGAACTTTAAAACATATGAGGGGCCATGTGAAAAATATTCTAGACTCCAAACCTCTCTTTTCACCCACCTGCAAACAGAAAAAGAGGTAAAGGGGAAAAAAATAAGGAAAGAATAGATAAAGCATGACAACACATAATCAGATATGCCATTGATTTATGCTGAAGCTCTAGAATATAAAACATCCATGTTCTGCACAGCTTTATCACATGCAGGCACTGGGGAATGCACGGAACAGTTTTCAGGCTAAAATCATGCAGTTTGGTGCATGTTTGAGCCGTTACACACTCTGCATTTCCTCCTCTCAACCTGAAACTCCTACTGGGTCTAAAGATTCAGAGCAAGGTTAGTTTCAATCCACCGAGACTGTTGCACATGTACTTCCAGATGCAATCAAATAAAGCATCTGGGCAGCTATACCGCACATGCGCTGTGTGGTGTTTACATAGCACATTATAAATTACAAAACTGGCAAGCTCTAGGCCACACCTGTTCAGGAGAAGGTCTGCAAAGGGCACAGCATCCTCTTCCTCCTTTGGAAAGGACACAACATTTGTGAGCTGCCTAGTCAGTGCCCTACAATTATGTCAGCCCCCCATCTTTTGGCTATCCAAGAAGTACAAACCAGATGAGCAGTTCCAAAAGAATGTGGTCAGGGGGTAAACTAGGTTGAACTTGGCTCCCCAGACAATACCCCTGCCTATACACTGCAACCTTCTGAAGTTTTTTCTTCAACTCCTGCCAATGAAGTAAGAGAGCTGCCTGCCTGAAGAATAGGCAGCCAGGTTAAGCTGCAGATTTGCTCAGTTGTTTCCCTCTTGGACTATTACTTTTACTCTGATAATGTTTTACTCAGATTTTCTTTATTTAAATTGATTCACTACTGCTGAGAAAAAAGCTGCTGAAGCTAGCCAAGGGCTTGTATCTATCACAGTGATCTTCTGATCCTTGACTATGGTCCTCAATACCAAGAGGACAAAGCTATAAGCTGTCACTTTCTGATCACCAAGTCAAGCAGGCAAAGGCATACTGAATAATAAGTGAGGCAGGAAGAAGTGAAACGACTTTTAAATAGATCACTATCTGGGTATCTAAATTGATAATGAGAATACCATCACTTCAAGTAGGAATCCAACAAAAAATACACTCAGGAACCCAAATAAATTTACTGAATCCCAACTGATGCAAAAGCTGTATGGTCAGGGATCCTTTCAACAGGATAAAGCAGGCAGAACCATTCAATGAATGAAAATCTGATCCCAAAGAAACCATGGCCTCCAGGTAAACATCACATAAAGCTGAGTTTGCGTGCTCTGTATAGTCATGGTATACACACAACAGGGAATCTTGAGAAACAACTCCTCACACCAGAATAAATTTTGCCATACAGAACTGTGACCTATTTCTCCTGGACAATTTTGCAGGTGGCTGTTTTAACTGCATTAAACAGGCATAGTCACACTGAAAACAATTTCAGTTTTCCTACTAAAATACAAGAGTATAGTCTACTGAAGAAGAGACAGGAGAGGAAAATGGGGGTTCGAAGGATTACACAAGTTCGAAGTTGTCCATAGGTAAGTCATGAATGCAACTTTTTGAAAGAAAAAGACTCTTGAGTCTCATATATGTATATATAGGTATTTTTAAAGGAGATGTGACCCAAATCACCTTCTGAATATTTGGGGGTAGATTTCAGAAGCCTCCTTGGCTTCTGATACCCACTTCTACTTTCACAACTGAAATGGCTCTTCCAAGCTACATGGTAAACTGAGAAAAAAGTTAATTCCCCACATGGAGGGACGACAGAATCCATAATATGCTAGCAGCATTTAAATCCCATTCCTGTTAAGCACCAAAACCATTTCTATAGGGAAATTGCAATCTTAAGGGTTATCTTTAATCATATACAGTATATGTGCAGAGCCCTACCTTTTGGGCAGAAAAATACCCCTCCAGCATTAGTTTTGAATAGATTACATCAATTGGAAGTGTCCTGGTCAGATCACCAAAACCATATTGTCTTTTGTAGGCCCTTCCCAAAAAGATCCCCATCTTACAACCACTCTTGGTGCTACTTTCATGACTGTTTGTTCCCGTGTATTAAAGGGATGACGTAGACAGAGATGTCGTCTCCAGAGCCCAGCCTGTCATTGGATATTCGCCAGCCCCGGTCCTTCAGCACTCCCCTGGCTCGCATCACCAGGTCCTGCGCCGCCAGCGTGTACCTGTGGAAAAGGCAGAACACAGCCAGGGAGTGCTCGTCTTCGTGAGGAAAGTGGGTTTTCACAGCCTGCCAGATTTACTGTTGTGAGCTACCAGGACAAGCTTCCCAGTGTATGAGAAGCAGGCAGGAGAAACACAAACCATGGCATACCCACAAAGCAACCCCCTCCAGTTCAGTGACGGCTCCTGCATCAGAATCTAAAGGTATCTGACAGGCACAAATCGATCAAAAAGTCACTGGTCATTTTGGCTGCTCGGCTTCACCAGTTTTCAGAAAAATATTAACACACTTGCCTTAACAAATTGGCTTTTTAGGAGTAGTCTGAAAAACTGAGGATCCTAAATACCACTATTTGCTGTTGAAAACTACATCCTTGTTCACTGACACACCTGAAGGTAAACATGGCTCAACTATTTCAGAGACAAACAATAACAAAGTCATTTGAAAGCAAGTAATAGAGCACTAAAAATAAACTCCAAATTACACTTTAAACCAAGTAGACTAACTTGTCTGTTTTCCTTGACCGTAAGAATGATTTTTAAATCTCTTTTATTCTAAAACTGGAAAAGGAAACTTATAGTTAATACAGCCAGATTAACAGAGTCCCACAGTCCTCTCACATTTATGAGTTCAATGAAAACTGTGTGAATGTGAATTTTCAAGTGCTTAATTTAGTGAAATACCATGTTTCATGTTGCTTCAAAACTCCCAGCCTGTGCTGGGCTGAGTGGCATTGGATTTATGGGAGTTATTTTCTGTCCTGAAAAAATAACAGATGCTGCTTGGGGGCAGAAGGGTGTCAGAGTCCAAAAGGTGGTGCATGACAGTGCTCCATCATGTGCTCCAACATGTTCTCCCTTATCGTCTAACCTGCTGTTACTAGATCAACACATCTGTGTACTCATTTAGAAGTTTCCTCTGAAAGAAGTCTCATTATGGGTAAACATCTACTGTCATGTGTTTTTCTTCATCAGTCCAACACCTGGCTGAGATGTTTTAAATTTGGTTGGGTGGAGGCAAGCTTTTCTATGACTTGATAATTAAAAATTAATCGAACAGTTAAAAGACTGACAAGAAAAAACAGTTCAATATTGTGTCTGCCTGTCTTTTATTTGAAGCGTAAGTATCAACCTCCAAGATGATGCGGGGCTCTGTGAAGCCAAACACACAGGCCACCAGAAGCAAAGCACATCTCCGTAGTTTCCAGAAACCAGGAAGGACAAGAAGGGCCTGCATTTCAAGACCCCCTTTTTTAGGCAGGATCCTTGGCCAGAAATGATCTGCCCAGATCTCATGTGAGGAATGGGAAAGAACAGTATCTCCATTGACCAGAAGCAGGAGGGGGCAGGGGGGAGGAGGAGGAGTTTATTAAGTGAGTATCCAGGACTGTTCTAACCCCAGAATTTTTCACCAGAGAATGCATTTTTAAATGGTAATTTCCATCAGTAGAGACTTTATTCACTCTCTGGGGATAAAAGAAGGAAAAAAACCCAGTTATGTTCTGTTTCTACAATTTTGGTGCCATAAACTCAAATGACTCCTTTGAACCAGGAATAGATTTATTTGCTCTACTAGAAAGATTTCTTCAATGCAAATAAACCAATGTTTGTCTGCCCAAAAGGTCTCATGTTAAATCCAAGTAATGTTGTACAGAAGCAATGCACCCCCTGCTCCTAATGGTACTGAGTGGTAAAATTTCCAGCCCTCGCTAGTTTTGACAAAAGATTTACTTTTAGAAGAGAAGGGCCCAAGGCATGAACTCTAACACACAGGCTTGCACACACACGTGCACACTGTCCGCACGTTCCGAGATAAGTCTGTACCAAAGACCTCAAGCTGTAACGGCAGGACGTAACAAGAAGCACTGCCCGTACTACTCTAATGCAACATGAAATTGTATTTTCTAAGGGGAAAAAACTCAAACGTACATACTTGCACTCCCCAGCTCCCAAATCAGATGCAGGGCTCAGGAACAAAAGGACTCCACGTGGCAAGCGAGAAACTGGAATATTTATTCACAGCATGTCTGATGCTGAGTGAATTTTGGCTAGAACATCTTTTCCAAGGATTTCTCAGCTATTGTCAGAATTTAAGAGAAGAAAACACCCATCATTCTCGGAGAAAACTTTGCCTTCCTCCTTTTTCTAATTACAAGGGCTCCTCACATCTAAAGAGTACAAAGGAATGAGTATTGCTCTTGATTTTGTAAAGCTTTTGCTGCTTAATGTTTGGAGAGAGCAAGATAAAAAAAAAAGGAATTTTAATAAACCAGAAACTGTCTCGTTGTCCTGGTTTCAGCTGGGATGGAGTTGATTTTCTTCCTATTAACTGGTATAGTGCTGTGTTTTGGATGTAGTATGAGAATAGTGTTGATAACACACTGATGTTTTAGTTGTTGCTAAGTAATGTTTACGCTAGTCAAGGACTTTTCATCTTCCCGTGCCCTGCCAGGTGCGCGGGGGGCTGGGAGGGAGCATGGCCAGGACGGGCCGGCACGCGGGCGCGGGGGGCAGTTATTCCATACCATATGACATCATGCTCATCATATAAGGCTGGGCGAAGAAGAAGGAGGGGGGGGACATTCGGAGTGATGGCGTTTGCCTTCCCAAGTAACCGTTACGCATGATGGAGCCCTGCTTTCCTGGAGATGGCTGAACACCTGTCTGCCGATGGGAAGCAGGGAATGAATTCCTTGTTTTGCTTTGCTTGCGTGTGTGACTTTTGCTTTACCTATTAAACTGTCTTTATCTCAGCCCATGAGTTTTCTCACTTTTACCCTTCTGATTCTCTCCCTCATCCCACCTGGGGAGGGTGAGCGAGCAGCTGCGTGGTGCTCAGTGGCCGGCTGGGATTAAACCACTACACTCGTAGAGAGACACTGAAATGCGCAAGAAAACCAGCATATTGAAGCAAAGGAAAAGGAACAGGTGAAGGCAGTACTGAGGTAACATATTCCTCTCCTTGTGTAGAGCTGAATTGGAGTGATGCTGTTCAACTTGGCACTAGAGGAGATAGGGCGAGTCTCTTGTACCTGGAGATGAATAGCAGCAGCAGTCCATTACCGAATGCTTTATTCTCCAGCGCTGTGAACTTGGGATTCAGCTGTCAAGACAGCATTAGAGAACTGCTGAAGTAGTTTTAAAGTATCCACTTCCTCCTAATGAACAGCCTCGCTGGAATACAAGTTTTGTGTTTTAAGAATAAATATATGGTTTTTTTTCCTTCTGCTGAAGCTTTCACTATTGATCAGTGAAAGTACTGCAGGAGAAATGGTGACAGTGGGGGAAATGTGCTGCTGTCTGAGCAGCTTATCTTCTCACACCCAGCAGAGGTGGAGCAACTCATAAATCTCTAGCTAGTGTGAGAGAGAGAGTGAGAGGGAATGAGAAAGGACAGGAGGAAGGATGAGAAATAAAAGATTCCCAAGGTCAGTGGGTAAACCTGCATAAGTGCAGCTGAAGGAAATGGGCAAGAGTCATGCTTCTCTATCTTCATACCTTTTCAGAGAGATGATGTATGCAGAGAGATGAAGGCAGCAGTGTGTCGCTACCACCTGTTCTTCACACAGGGTCCCCTTCATGCTGTTGTCTGCCACAATACCCGTAAGAAATGAGCTGGCTAAGAAATCCAGCTCCACCCCAACTTCTTCACTCCATCACAGCCCTCAGGATGAGACTGTTCTCTAATCAAGTCTGTGCCCATCACCCGCTGCCCAAATCCCCTGAGGCTGTGTCTGCATGTCTGGGTGAAGACAGACCCGAGGACTTTGCTCTCCCTGCACTTGGAGATGCCCAGGCACACGCTACGTTTGACAGGATTCGAAGATGTTTTTCTGTGGGTAACAAACACTTACAGTTCTGACAGTAAATATCAGCAGGAGAGTGTCCCAAGAGTGTTGCCGAGGGCTGTAAGCTTTTACCCATCAGGCTATACAATGACTTCTAATTCAAATGGGAGGGATATTGTTCCCTCAAAGAGCTAATTACGTAACAGATAACTACTCTGCAGCTCTAAAATCTTCCTCCCTAGCTTTTTTTTTTTTTAAATATAGTGCTGTCAGGGAATAAGTAGGCTACTGGGTCAGGCGGATCCAGAGTCTGCTCCACAGGTAGGTTCTCCAGAAGACCACAGCATTACCAAACCCAGGGGGCAAGTCTCGTACGTTCTGACAAGTTTTCTACATCCCTAGCGATTTCACATTTCCAGCTGATCACCTCACCACAGACTATGTCACTACACCCATCACAGAACACGACATTTTGTGGGATAACATTTCCTTTAAACATAACACTGATAATACGGCAAACAAAATTTTCCTGTCGCTGACTAGTGAGAGGAATGAACGCAGCTCCACAGTCTGAGCTGCTATGCTATTGTAAATTCATTAGTTATACCTCATTTGGACCACTGTGAAGTAATTACGTAAAACCTCTCACACAGTACTTTAAACCCTTTAAATATTCTTTACAACCAAGCAGCAAGAGCAATTCCACAAAGGTAATTTTCATAAATATCATTGTAAACTATATGAGGGACTGCTCTAATTACCTTTTGCAAGCTGGCATGAGACATGTCTTGCCACCACTATTTGTAAGCCTCTAAATGACCTGGCATAAAGTTACTTAAAAGAACAAATTAATTTTCAATTCAGATGTCCATTCATAGACCAGTAGGTCAAACACTAATAAATGTGTTTGTTCTAACTCATAATACAGCAGGCCCAATTCTGGAGTGTGTTGTACTCATGCTGGCACAAACCGGGACTAATCCCCCTGAATTACTGGGACTAAACCAGCACAAACAAATCTAAATGAAACAAAGAAAATCTCTTTTTTCCTTTAGTGTCTCTGATTTCTGTAAGTGTTTTATAATGGATGAAAAATTACTCACCTAACAAGTCAAAAGATCGAACAAAGAATTCCCATTCCTACTGCAGCAAACATGGTGGCCATCACCAGCTTTGGAAAGACCAAAAGGAACAAGACAGACATGACACACCCAGACTGTATTCACAACAGACAGGACCAGCGAGGACGGTAGGAAGAGCCAACCTTTCCCAATTACTAGATGAGAATGGGGACAGAGCAGGGCAGAGGTACTACATTATACCAGGTGCCTTTGCAAGTGGCGACTCAGGGATGCAGAAATGAGAGCAAAAGCTCCCTAGCACCTCTGAACGTTGCTAGGGAATAACCGAAAGTAGACTGGGTGGGTCATCTCCTCCTACCTAAAATTAATGGCATATCTGCATAGCACATTGCCAGATGCCCTGGAAGTGCCCCTCGCTAATCCTGCCTGATCTCCTCCCAGAGAGAGGGCAGAGACACTTCCATGTCTTGCTGAAGTAGAGACTGCCCTGGCTGTCATTCATACCACATCTCCTCTTCAGCGCAAGGAGGTGGAGAAGGTCAAAATATTGCAGTCGCAGCTTCATGTTAACCATCCAGTCACCTGAAGACAGAGTGCTTGCAGCAAAACATCATTTTGCATTCCATGTTTGTAAGTGTCAGGGCAAGAAAATACTGTTCACGAATCACTTTGGAGCTGCTCTCACTTTAAAACCCAAGTGGCTGTCAGGGTGTCCCAGTTATCTTCGTTGTTTGCTGATGGAGAACAGGACTGACCCTGTGAAGATGACCACTTAGAAACATGAGAAACACCAAGTATTTTGAGATGGGTTTCCCTATGTCCTCAAGAGTTGCCACATCTAAACAACTGTAAGTTGAGTTCTTGCACTGTCCCGAATGTTTTCACTTGGTTGCCGAGATATCCCAGAGCTTATTTTGAAGCTCCACTTTCTGCAGGCCAACTGGGGACGTGTAAAAAGCTTTTCCCCACACTCAGCCCAGGGCGAGGGCAGAAGACAGCGACAGCCAGGCCTGAATTCAGGAGCAACACACACTTCCCTTCCTGAACACTCCCTAGGGAAGGATAAACCTCTTTCCACTTTCACAGTCCTCCCTTTTACAAGCGAGAGACTTCTGATCTCTAGCGTAATGTTTTAATTCAGGGTGACACTGAACTCAGCAGCAGACAGACTGATGGACTCACTCAAGGCAGACAGCGCTCTAGCTAGTTATTTGGGAACTTATTTGTTTGCTTGATGGTATGTTTTAAAGACAGAAACTGATCAAGTAACAGGAGATAAAGACAGGAAAATGAAGAGGATGAGGTAGGTTAAAATTGAAATGGAACAGAATCCAACTAAGTGAAATAGAGTCAGACTTTCCACCTATTTCCACTTATTTTGTCACCACACCTGTCCTGCAGCTGAGCATCCCCTACTGAAGGTGTGTTTAAAGGTCACAGCATGACCATGAATGAGTGGGAATCACACTGTGCAGTATTTACATACATGGTACATACATACACAGTGAGAGAGAGGGAGATACCATGCTGATGATGTCCTAGTGAGAAACAATCTTCAGTGTTAAGGGACTATCCAGGGGAGAGTTAAGTGGAAACCTGTGACTGCTGGAGACAGAGACCTGTTGCTAAGACCTCAGCCTCCTACAGTTTCCACAGGACCTCGTACAGCAAACAAAATGGATCCCATGCCAAGATACTGTGATCTCACAACTTTTCCTTTGAAGGCAGGCAATTCTGAGTTAGACCCTCTCCCTCAAGCCTCCCCATTTGCTGTAGAGGCTCCATCCAACTTCTAAAAATGTCTTCTTGTAAGTGTTGCATATTTACTGAATGTTTTTCCTATCATACTTTCTACAAAAATACGTTACCAGAAAGCGCTCTTCCATGGAGAAGCTAGAAAATCAGGGACGAGCACAAACCTGTGGGGATCATCGGGGTCACAGTTTGGTAGAAAGTTAGTGACAGCTTCTGCCACTTCTTCATTTAACAGCACATCCCAGAGTCCATCAGTAGCTAGGATCAGAACATCATCTGGCCCATGCTCGTACTGCAGGAGGTCATAGACTCTCACCTAAAACAAAAAAACCCCAAGAGACATCCATGAAGGAGGAGACTGGCAGACCTGTTCGTGAAGCGTTGCTGCATTTGGCTGCGAGTTAGCAGGTTCGGCCAGGGCACTGAAACACCTCTCCCGCAGCACTGCTGGGATCTGTCTCCAATTTAGCCCTCGAGATGGCAACCCTTCCTGCCCTGGCTCAGCGCGGCTCAAGTGCTGACCCCAGCCGGGATGGACGCAAGTATTCCTAAGCCGGGCTGTAAAGCACCGTGCCGCCCGCTGCCGGCAGTGCTTGAAGCCTCTCCCACCCGGCAGCCTGGTTTTGGCGTGTGAGGCTCTTCCCTATCATTGGCAGGACTGGTCATATGGAAGCTGAATAGTTTATTTGATGAATTTTTGACAGTTTCTAACAAAATATTCACAAATAATTGTTTTCACTATTTGTCCAGATCCATTTAACTCTGCCAGATAAATTGCACATGTTCAGAAATGCCTGTGTCACAGAAGGCATCGCATTCACTTTTCTAGACCTGAGGCAGCTGCTGCACTCAAGAATTACGCCTGAGCAAGTGAGTAGTTCCACGAAATGGAGAAAAACTGTTTACCTGCTCAGTTATGTGTATCTGTAAGGAGTTCACTAGGTAAAGACCGATTCAAAATCTGCACAAAAGTGAACCCCCAAGCTTATCCACACTACTAAAATGTCCACCGGCTTCACCTTGTCAGTCTGCAGCCACAGTCACGCTGACCACTGCTGCTGGCACCTCCGTAACACCCTGCCTTTAAAACAACTTCCACCGTCCTCTTCCCAACAAGGCTGAGGAAAGCCGGGAGCAGAAGAGGCAGACACGGGGGGGCCAGGAGGCTGTCAGCTGAGCCAGAATACGAGGAAAGGTCATGGCAAGCATCTTAAACCGAGCCTTTAGTTGGGCGTAACTCTCCTTCCAGCATACACTGTATTCCAGCTGACAAACTGCCTGCGATTTCCAGGTTGCGACGGGGAGCCGTTACGAAGCACTCACGGAGCACTTTAATTACCACAGCAAGAACCACAGTTTGAAAGAAGTGTGACAATCTTGGCAAGGCAGACAGGAGGAAACGATCATCTGTACTGAAGTTCGGAAACGGTGCACCCCGTCACGCACCCTGCTCCGGCCTCGGGCTCCACTAACAGCAGCGGCAGTCAGGAAATTTGTCAGAACAAGCATTTGGCATAACTAGAAAATATGAGCTGTTTTATTCTCCCTCCTGGTGCATTCTCCCCTTAGGAGCCATGGAGCAGGCAATGCACATAAAATGCCTGGACCTTTTAATGTAATTATGATTTTATGGGACTGCAACCAGTACCGGAGAAAAAAAAAAAAAAATCACCTAGACCTGACTGCTAATCCTTACTTGTTCGCCTTTCACTCAAAAGCACAAGAAGGTCATTTGTAAAATGTGACCTTCACTTCATTATCTAAGATAGCAGCTGAATAAGGACTTCGGAGAGGATTAAAGTCAAGGCAAGATACTCTCTTCATTAGAGCATATCTCTTTATTCAGATTGAGTGGGAATACTGTTATAGAAGAGATCCCTATATGCAGCACAGCTCTCCTCTCAAGCCCATTGCATAGAAACCAGTAGCGTCATAGTCCCCATTCCCCCAAATTTAGTTCAGCCTATAACAGCCCAGGGTTTCAACTCAGAAATCACTGGCGTGTGGGGGCTAAGTTGGCCAACACAGCCATCAATAAGCACCACGTATTCTGGTCAGATCTCTCTGGTACGGGCAAATATTTGAGAGCATCGGGGTTAATGCTCAGGGATGCACTCAGCAGCAAGCCCCTCGTAGGAATAACCACGCTTCAAATGTCAGCGCTAGGAAAAGCACATCTACCATGACTCTCCCACCCAGGCAAAGTACACATTACACCACAAGAGCCTTTTTTGCAGGAAACCAAGACCATGCATCACTGATTTGAATCCTTCTGAAATGAACAATTTTGTCCGACTGGGGAGTGGCACAGGGGCGGATAAGAAACTTGTCAAGGCTACCTGCAGCCAATCCACAGGTCAAAAGGTCCAAATCCTTGGTGTAGCACAATGCTAGAGCGACACCAAGAACGAACGGATCATTTTACTTAGAACATGTTTAGTTTTTGGGGAAAAGAAAAAAAAATGCAATCACTGATTTTATGGGTAATCTGGGAACAAGGTAGTTACCTCCTAAAAGCAAAAGCTTTGTGAACTGAGCACCTCCAGAAAGGGTTGCAATTGAGAAGGAACTAGATGTCAGAAGAGTTGCAGAGAAGGGCAGTGAGGTGAGCAGTAAGGGATGCTAGGCTGGTACCCAGGCTAAGGAAAAGAGAGTGCCAAGGTTACAGGAGGCAAGCGTGGTGCAACTTCAGGTAAGATTCTTGTATACAAGGACCAACTGGACATAAAACAAAACTTTCACTGAAATGCAGCTTTGTCTGCCTTCCAGTTACCACAGCAGCCACACATTAGGGCAGCCATGTCCACATAATACTTAATTTTTTCTTAAGCTCTTTCTTTGTGTCTTTCCTCAGATTTCTAAAATACAGCTGCAGGTGCCCCCAGTACATTGCTGACAAAAATGAGTTAATTTAGAGCCATCCAGTCTATCGTAGGTTCAGGTTATGCTCACAGACCACCTTGCCCAGGTGCACAAACATCTCCTAACCCTTCACTTTTCTGCTAGCAGCTTTGTTCTAGTTCTTACTTGGGTCAATGAGCGTCTCTTGCAGTAGCGACATGTGCCTTCAGCTGGACACGGAGCAGCGTGACAGCAGAGCTCCCGGAGGCACACAGGCTGGGCAGCACCACCAGGGCACGTGTAATGGATGCTCAGACCAGCAGGACTCAGCAAACATCCACTCCACACACCCCACATTGTGCAACACCCCACAGCATACTCCACACATGCTGTACAAAAAAGGCGAGGGAGTGTGATATGCCAGAGTTTCGGAACAACAAGCAGAGATCCAGAGAGTTACTTAAGTGCCTGCAACAGTAAGCAATCCCGCAGCCCTGTAAATCTTATGTGACTGAAAGCAGCTCATTGCCTCCAATAGAAATTATTACTTTATAAGTTTTTTTTTTTTTTAATTTCAGAGCCAACCTACCTAACAACTGATTCCTTCCCATAGCTGTATTTCAGGAAACTCAACAACAGCGAGGTTTAAGTGATGTTCTGTCTGTGACAGAAGTTCGCACAAAGCTGCAAGCACCGCAAAACAGTATTACATAGCCCCACTAGTGCAGATGACGGCTGGCCAGACACCGGCCGGCAGCGCAGAGGTTTCTTTAACTGGTGCTGCACCCTTGACAAATTTCCTAGCAATTCCACTCAGAATCTTCAGACTTTCCGTCATGACTCATTGCTTCTGCAGCCAGGTGTCAATGCTGATAGTGCTCCACAGAACTCATGTCCTCTGCCCCAAATGCCTTGGGCTACCTGTGCTCTGACCTCTGCCTCCCGTGCTGTCCCGAGAGCCTTGCCACTAACTCCCCCCAGCTTCTCGGCTCCTTCTGTGCTGCCCTGGCAAACTTCCTCACCCTAACATCTCTCTGGAGCATCAGGGCACCCCTCGAAGGAGCCTAGTTTGATCACCATACTTCTACCATCCACTGATGTCTTACTTGACTTGAAGCAGACCATCTGTTATCTAGGTAAACTTGACTTCAGCAACCAGAAAATGTAAAAAGCCAACGATAAGGAAGTAGCACCACCTCGGTAGCACAAACATCCATGACAACAAGAGTTGGGTTACGCTATATTTTATCCTGACTGGTACTTACAGATCTCTGCTGATAGGTAACAGCGGATACACACCGCTAGAGCCCATAGTCACACACGACATCTTTCCAAACATGTGTTATGCAGTTTGTCAGATAACGCCTTTCTTCAATCCAGATATTTGTTTCTCATATTGCTCACCTACATGCAGTCAAGAGCGCTGAGAAAAACGCTCTGGGCAAGCAACGAACAAACAGGTGGGTTGGTTTTATATTTACATTTCAAACAGATCTACCCACTGGACAAGACCTGCATTTGGCTGCCGAAAAGGACCACAGCAACTCTGCGAAGGCGCTGCGGCTTGTTTGCCAGGTTTGTTTTTAAGAGGCAGCCAACGCGAGTCCCTGCGGCTTGAAAACCGCTCACAACAGAGTGACACCGAGCCTGCAGCCACCTGAGGTGCTCCTCAGCAGCCAGCCCCGCGGGAATTCGAGCCAAACAACAGCCCGCATTCACCCGCCTGCACTATTGATCAACTCGGCTACTTCAATAAATTAAGCCCTTTCTTAATTGTATCGTCTCTTTTTATGCGCAGTGTTATCCAGCGCAGCTTCGCTGGCAAATGATGAGATCTTTCAATACCACCCTCCAAGTAATTTATATGTAAATAATAAAAAGCGGGTCCCAACACTGCTCCCTGCAGCACTCACCAATTAATCTCCTTTTAGCTTTTTACTGCCACCCTTTGTTTCCTGCCCTTTAGCCAATTTCCAGTAGATTGTGCCAACTTTCCACTTAGTCTATAGCTTCATATCTTTTATATTAATAACCTGTGATGCAGAACAGCTTCTCAAATGTTTTCTGAGAAATCAAAGTGCTCATGCAAGACCGTCTACTGCGTTTTTTTTTTTTCCAATTCTCTAGTAGACATAACCCTGAAGGACTTTAAGCTACAAGCGTGATGTTTGCTTCTTGAAACCACCTTGACTCCCTTTGATCAAACAGTACTTCTCTAAGCATTTGCCTCGCTTGTTTTTTTAAACACTCTAACTCCTAAAGATTTCTCCAGAAGGCAGATGTGAATCTAAAATGGTCTCCTCTGACGTATTTGTGGAATTGTCAGAAAGATTTTACTAACATAATGGAAGGGGAGAAATTCTCCTTCATTACCTTCTCATCATTTGCTGTGGTGGCTGGCTTCAGGTTCATCGCTGGCAAGGGCCAAACACTGCCGTCAGAGCCGCACCTCTCCCACCAAACGGCTGAGCTGCCATTCGAAAAATCTCAGGATGAAATTCTGCTTTTCAGCTGCAACAAGGCAGATCTTGCTGAGCTTTAAAAAGCAGAATTTCCTTGTTGCAG